TGAATCTACCAATGCCAATCCTTTAGCTATTAATACTAATCTACACAACCAATGTGTCTCACTTTTCAAGAATATGCTTACAGGAAAATTGATGATGTCGCTATGGGAAGCCCTCTAGGTCCAGTTCTGGCAGATGTTTAGGGCACCTCTCGAACACAATGAAAATAGAACGTTTCATTCCTTACAAACGATACGTCGACGACACCCTTGTAATAACAGAAAGTCTAGAAGAAGCTACAGTATTTCTGGATGAACTAAGTAGATTATATCTAAATAATCGCTTCACAATGGAATCCGAAGTAAACAACACATTGAATTTCCCTGACATCAGTATGCGGCGAAGGGAAGATAAAACGATCGCCCGATCCGTTTACCGAAAGGAGACCTGGGACGGCCAATATTTACACTTCGAGCGCTTTGTGCTCCTTGAGTATAAACGTAGTCTTGTTTGGAGATGTTAGCGGAAAATGCCTACCCCGTAGCGTTCGTTAATAAGCATAGCAAACCAAGAATTGTAAAAGAAACAATTGCGTCAGCTCCGAAGTTACGAGTCACGTTGTGCCTCCAGTTCAAAAGTGATAACGTAAGCTGTTTGGTCAAAAAACGACTGAGATCGGCAATTGTTCGAACCTACTATGCAGCGGACCCCAAATCGTCTATCGGACAACTAGAATACCCACACCATCGGTAAAAGAACGTCTGTCTCTGTACGCCAACTCTAATCTGATCTACCAATTCCAATGTGGGTGCGTAGTGACTTACGTGGGTAGAACGGAGCGACAACTACGTAACCGGGTGGTTGAATATATTCCAAATTGGGTTCAATGTCAGATGACAATCTGGGTGAAGTCCGCGGCATAGAAACAACGGTCGAACCTATAAGACTCCTTCTTCAGCCACAGCTCGGCATCTTCTGATGACGCAACACCACATCGACCGAAGCACGGTGTTTCAGATTATCTACAAGTCACGAATCGCAAGATTGCTAAGGTTTGCAGAATCGATTGCTATCAGCCGATGGAAGCCCCCCTTGTGTCAACAAAAAGAACTGTATGTTAGTTTATCCTCACCCTGGTGACATAGTTCTTTTACCTCTCCCCTTTTATGTTTGTCTGTTTCATTGTATTTTACTCTTCTTTGTTGCCATGCTAAATCCCTGTATAAACATTGTGTTTTCTGCAGTATGCACCATGTTAAGATGCAGCGAAATCGTCCTGGACATAAATCGTGCAGTATTGCAATATGATCTTTTGACATTGATCTTGGGAAAGGCTTGCTACAGTCATCTGTGCTTCGCTTGTATTTGACCACGAACCTGAAACAGACGGCGCAAACTCTGTACATTACATAGGCTGAGACGAACAAAAATGGGTACATATATCCAGCGAATTTCGTCATGTACAGAGCAAATGAAGCGTGAACTAGAAAGCTGTGGTCATCGCGACCTTTGACCTCCTTCAATAATTTTAATTATGATTTAGATATTTCATGCTCAGTTGTTTGGCCGAGCCGGGCAATTATACTGCAGTCGCTTCATCACCAATCGAGGCGACATTCTTAATGGCATAACTGGGTGAGCGTTTAAGAGTACCCCTTGTCGTATATAGGTCTTTGAGCGATACAGGGACGTGGCGTGGCCTGACGTTACTGATGTTTGTTCGCCTTGTGACCGATAAAGGCAAAAGTGGACAGGAGCAGTCTGACGGTTTATCGTTGGCCAAGTGTTACTTTTGTCCTGTCGACGCACGGATGCTGATACGATCAGTTACCAGTGTTCCTGGGATCACTGAGAAATTGCGATCCGCGAATTTCAATCTGTTTGGTATGATATACTGTGCTGGCTGGCTAATTTTGAGTAAGATTGATAGTTTTCTTTGTGACCTTCATTTTATTGATTTACTCCTCTAATTCAATGTGGCTCATGTAACCCTTGCACTTTCGCGTTATTATTTTGATTGTGTTCTTTTGGTCACCCATTGAGAGGATAGAGGCGCAAGAAAACTGGGGAATATAGTTGAAATAAACATGTTAATAAAATGAGTGAATGCACGAATGCCATTGTTTGTAACACTCGGCCATTTCACTCGGTTTCTTTGACTATCGATTCAACAGACCTCGAGGTCCCCAGCCGGTGGGGTCTAGCGTGACCTATATGTCAGCAGCTTACGCCGGGAAGCTCATTCGCGTTGTGTGCCCCAGGTATTTCAGTTTATGGAAGTCAACCATTTGTTCCCATCCGCTGTGGCCACTACCTACCTAAAACTATGCGTCTAACCTCAGCATTGCTTTTCCGGCTGCCCCACCAGACTCTTGAAAATGCGGCATGGACAATCCACAATTTGTCTGTTCCTTCACTTCGTTTCTTTTGAATACTTAATTTATAAGCAGTTTTAAAGAAGCGAGGAGCGGCCGATCAAAGGACCGTCACCACCTAACCATTCATGATGACAACCTATGTTGATTTGATATCGGGCTCTCCTCTTACTGGCCTGGGGCTGGTTTTGAGAATTTCACACGATAGTATTGTCACACTGTTACATTTCTTTGTTTCCTTCACTTGTTTTTAGTCTGGCTTCTATCAAGACCTCGTTTGATTTCTCAAGTTTTTCGGAGACGTATATTCACTTGCATCTGTAAAAATGCATTTTAAGGTAGTTGCTTCCCCTCTGAACCCCCCAAGTATCCACGGCGATGCATGTATGTGCTCACATCACAGACTAAGTACTCTTGGATGGCGGTTGTCGCCCCAGAGCTCGTGTGTTCGAACCCACTTCTTCACTGTCTAATTTCCCTCATTTATATGAATCTAATGACCGCCTTGGTATTGATTACCTCAGCCGTTCTTTCCTCTTCCTAATAAAATATCCTTCATTCTGTTTAGGTTGGGCTGCTTGATGCCGAGGGTCGGTAACCGATGCGTCCGAGATGACGTTCGCCACTCTTATTTTCACTGATTCAGTTATACAACTTTACCGTTTTCTGTAACGAAATTTCCTCATGTGGTCCGTTTTTTTACACAATTCGTCGTATTATTGCATCTTTCTTTCATAGAATCGATCGCATTATTCATTCCAATTTGATACGTGCCCGTCAGACCACCGCAGCTTTATTAATTGGCTTGTCTGACGATACCGAGGATACGTTGATGGACGTACCCACTCTGACTAATCTGTCCGCTCCTTACCGCTGTGCTCTCCAGGGGAACTATTCAGCTACTATCGACCAATCCCATCGCTCGTCAACAGAGCTAGCGGAATATAAAATCGGTAAACCGTACATACCCTATCCTGGTGCTCCCTTCTACTGTCAAGAATCACAGTATTTGGCTGAAGGACCTCCACCTGTGGCGCCACAACCGCCTGGCGGTAAGTAGGATTTGTTTTACTATGCTTGTATTGTGGCGTATTGCGAAAATTTTGTAGGCAGGTATACTTACGTATATAGGTCCAAAAGCATCTATACCGTTCTTGCAGAGGAGAACTGAAAAAAACGAGAGTACCTGAAAAAGTGGATAAATGTTATTCATTTCAAATGTTTCTTCTAAAGCTCAGTACCAACTTTGTTTGAATCTGCGAGAATACAAGCCAAATAAGGTGAAGAAAAAAAGATTTCATCCATACCGATTGTTGCAACAATGAGCGAAAACTGAACCTATTTAAAGGATAGAAATGGCAGAGAGATCTGTTATTATTATTATTATTATTATTATTATTATTATTATTATTATTATAATTATATTTCACACTTGTCTGAGGACAAACTGTGCCAAGCAAATCATAGTACAATAGTCTTTATAAAAAAGACAAACGTTCCATGATTGGTTTGCGGGCTGAATACTGCCAGGTTGCGCAGGCCAAGGCAGGTGAATTTTCTTGAGGAATCCACAACCGGAGCCTTCGGCTAGCCAAAGCCTGACCCGCGAGGCAGCAGGGCAGTGTGGAAAAACCGCAATCCATTGGGGGCTGGTGTCCAGTTCATCGGATCATTCACACTTTTGACGGGGTCAAACGTCCAAGGTGCCAGATACACCTAAATGTTAATCCGCTACAATGTGTGGCTTGACTGTTGACCAACCAACATACAATGATACTTTCAGCCAGTGAAATCGCACTGTTTTCACTGTTCACTGATTAGATAATTTTCATGAAGAGCACCCATGAATGCAAGGAATTCAATAGCAATTCACAAGCGTCTATCTATCAGAGAAGCGAATGTGTTCGATGTGTGCTGAATCATCTGGTAGCAACTTAGAGCTCTGTGGTACAACAAAAACTGCTTTTTATTGTTACCCTGGTGTATGGCGTTTACTGGAGCAGGTAGTGGATGGATCAAAGTAAAAGGTGACTAAACTAAGACTTAATACTGGGTTAAGAAAAGCCTGACCAGCAGACTCGGTCATATAGGTTGCGCTCCGCGCCCCGGACATCGAGATCTTTGTAATCCATGATTAGAGACACTAGGTGATAAAGCTGAGTGTCGTAAAAAGTGTCTCTCATGCATCTTTTCACTTTACTAGGAACCTTAGTCCGCCGGAACTCTCTATTTTGCTGCTGAATACTGCTTTCAGCTTCCAACCTTTCCTTCTATCCGTTTATCCAAATGAGCGGCCAAAAGGCAGCAACCTAAACCGCTGCACGAACTTGCATGGTTGTTCGGTTCAGTTTAGTTTGTACAACCATTAACTTTCGTGCACCGGTTTTGATTGCTGTATTTTGGCTGCCCGTTTGGATGAACATTAAGAGAAAGACAGGAAAGGTTAAAATTAGGATCAAAGAGAAAATTTAGAATTTCAGTGGTTTAATGTTGTAGATAAGTTGACAAGATGCACGAACGCCACTGTTTACGACATTCAGCCATGCCATTCAGTGTCTCTAACCATCGGGTATGATCATCCCCAGGTTCCCATCCAGGGAGCCTAACGGGACCTATGCGACCCGGACTGGTGATTAGAGTTTTCATACCCTCATGTCAGGTCTTAGTTTGACCACCCTTGGCTTTCTTCCACCCACTAACTGCCTCGGCAAACATCGCTCACCGTGGCAACTTATCTGGTGACATGCGTACCACATGCCTCCAACCAATGTAATCTATACAGGTAGACCATTTGCTCCAGTGGACGACCGCGGCTACCTAAAACTCTGCCCTTAACCTCAGCATTGCTCGTCCGGCTGCGCCACCTGATTTGTGCAATGTTGCGTAGACAGCGGTGTTCAAACATGGTTAATAATGTTTGCACAAACTGGAAACTGAACAGAAACCGCTACGAGATATGAATAATTTGTCAGAACAGGAATCAGCTGGCACGAAAAATGTGTCACCGGTCGGTGATTGAGTGTTTTCAAACTTCAGTTTCGCAAGGTGAGCGGGCATAACGTAAAAAAATTGAGGAGGATGGAGAGAGCGCAGCAAACTGCAAACTGATCTCAGTTCTGAATTTCAATAAGTCATCGGTTCGATTTTATCGGACGCAAAACACTCAAATGTAATGAAAATAGAGGCAACAATCTTGTGAACGTGGAAGCCTAAGTTCAAAGGTGCCAATCGAGGTGCTATTGTGCAGCGCTTATCCACCAAAGAGGGAGGGATGTGCAGAATACACTGAATCAGTCAGGTTCAACTCAGCACTTTCGTAAATTGACTTGGTTTTTTTAAGGAAAACTGTTAAAGGAATTGAAGTAAGGGATAGACAATGCTCCGCGCGGCTTTCGAGTCGTTTACTGTGGAACGTACAATTGATAGCGGTTTTATCGATTTCTAACTAAGAGCAATCCTAATACGAACGACGATTTACCACTTCGCTAAAAATCCTTCGTTATTTACACACAACTCAATTTAGGAACAAAGAAAGTTATGCAGTGCGCGCCAGTATTTCAGGGACACTTGAATATATTTATCCAGTCTGTAATACATGGAAATCTTTTCCGCAAGTTGTTTGTGTCCCAACCATCGCTTCATTCAAGTTATGGCTGAACTAAGCATTGACCCATCTAACTGTTCATCACTCGTGAATGGGCGTCATAATTTGCTATTTAATTGTACTACCAACCGAACCCAGTGTGTACAGATCTTATGGAATCCAATAAGCATCATCTTTGTAATCTACTCGTAATAAAAATTTGGATTTGAATATGGTTTAAATATCACAGTTACCA